AACATAACGGATGACAATAGGATTAACATGATCGTGTCATCCAATTCTATACTTTAAATGTGTGTTTAATATTATTATGTGATAAATTTCTTTTAATAAGCTCTTGTACTTTGATTACGTTGTTTGTTTTTGGAATGTGTGCAAATCTACACAAAGGTATTGAAGTGATAGGGGAAAGGCAGCTAGCCAAAGGCACCCATCATCAAATAGTGGAATCTTATCACCAATCGTCAATATAATCCACCCATGGCTCCAAAGTGCAGAATGCATTTTTTAAAGTATTGAAATGCAAACCATGGACCCTCAAATTCAACACACTGACCACAAGGTCATACCCAACCATTTTTACATGAATTGTGGCAAATAGTTATTTAAAGGACATGGATATTATACATTTTAAATTGTATAATTAAATTAAAAATTATTGTTTGTTTGTTTCTAATTAAGCACAAAGCTACACAATGGACTACCTGTGCTCTGCCCACCATGGATATCGAAACCCGGATGCTAACGTTGTAAGTTCGCAGACATACCGCTGTGCCTCTGGGGGGCATTAAATATGAATGAATAAGTGTTGTGCTACACACACACATATTTAGATTTCATTAAGCTCCGATTTGAGAAGAAATAAATATTTATCAGATTTATTAATTCTTGTTTTAAACTTAGCTTGATCATACAGTTTTGATTCTTTGGGATTTATACTGTAAACAATTAAACATAATTTGAAGACAGTTCTTTGAACTTGATTAAATCCGCTAAGTATTTTCGAGATCGATTGCTTAGGCAGAGTATTCATGATGAAACTTAGCTGAATGGACGGCAACTGCTTGTTATAGAAACACAAGTGCAGAGAACGACATTTCGAAAGCCTTCCACCTTTCGTCTTCAACCTGAAGAAGAAAGGCAGAAGACTTTCGAAACATCATCATCTACACTTGTGTTTCTACAACAGGCAGTTGCCATCCATTCAACTATGTTTAATCATTTTCAAGATGTCTTCTGAAGAAGTATTACTATATAAAACATTATCAGACGATGTTTACTTTTAAATGGTAAATGAAGGTTTTTTTTTAATAATTAATATTTTTTTTATAACTTCTCCCGTGTGTCTAAACAGTGTTATGTATTACTAACAGACCTACACAGTTAGTGATAAATAGTATACCTGTCTTTAAAGTTGGTCCCTCAAATTGGTCCACCAAAATATATATATTTGAATAAAGCACTGGGAAGAAGGTTACCAAATTTTATCTACAATAAACCTTACTTTTCACTTGTCCATGCAGTGGAACAAATTTAAATATCACACTATTTAATTAACTATAGTTTAAAATCCCTCATTCACAACTCTTCATCAAATGAATACTAAAAATCAAGAAAAAGTTGCCTTAATATTACCTAACAAATTAATTACAAAGTTACTCATTTTCTTTGACAGTTTATCAAATGGACATAAAGGCAGAGTCGGGATATTTGTCATTTGAGTGACTCGGTGATTCGTTTAATATGCGACACAAATCAAGCAGCTCTGATCGTAACGCAGGAAAAACAAATCACTTAATCTATTTGGTGCTGATTTACAAAGATTTTGATTTTCAAATACAGTGAAAATTTGTGTAGTTGGCAAAAATGTTACCTGTGAAAGACAAAGAACTTCTAAATGAATGACCATATTTTGCTCCAAGTTGTTATCTATACTTTGCGATGGTAACTTTTCCATATTTATTAGAACTTGCAAACAATGACTAGAAGAAGGAAAGTCCTTTTCAATTACCAAGTTTAAAAATCATTATCACTATCCTGCAGAAGAGGATTCTGAGCACCCTTGCTCTTGTTTCCGGGTGTTTTATTTAACTCCATCTCTTCGTCACTTGAGGCATCCGAGGCATCGTCGTCTTCACCCTCTAGGTCGAGATCTGAGTCGGTGTCTAAACTGTCCTATATTTGACAAAAAAACAGAAGTACGCATTTTTCAAGAAGAACCATGAGAAACACAAAGTAACATACAAGTTACTGAGTATGTTGTGGTTAACCTAAGAAATAAAGTGTCATTATCTTTAGAAAACAGTAAATCTTGTCTTTAATAGGCTACTGTTTTAGCTTTCAGACATTTAGGCTTAGTAAGTTGGGTTACTATTCTAACATTTAGATAACAATTAGGCTTAGTAAGGTTAGACCATACTGGTTTGATCTACAACATCAAACTGTGTACACAAATCAGATAGGTAATAGACTAGAACACAGCAGAGTCAGAGCTGCGTTTACTTTAATTGTACAACTTACAATAAATGAATTGTTACAGCTTTATATCTTTATCAAAATCATGTTTTAATCACCTAGAAAACCCAGTTAATATCTAGGTACATAATAGCTTGTATAAATAAATGGACTGGTGATTAAAAAAAACGTTACACGATTAAGAAGTTGAGAGCATTTTGGAGATCCTATAATAATAAAAACAAAGCATGTTATCACGCTCCGAGGCAAGAAAAGATAAATAAAGAGCATCCAACCGTTAAAAAAACTGTTAAGTATGTCTGATGTAGTGGTTAGGTTGACAAAAATGTTGAGTGATTTAACAGTAACATTGTAGAAAATGTGGCAGATTTAATCTAAATGTGTATTTCTCAGAAGTCACGACTTAGCTAGTCCAAGTTCAAAATGAAAACGACTGACAGTTTAAAACTTCAGTTACTATATAATCTTAGTGTTCATTTCTACGTTAAGTTCCAAACTGAAGTACGCTTAGTTGATTTTACATCAATAGCATTTAAAAACATCAATAAATGATGTTCCATGAATTTGTTGCCATTATTATAACTACTAAAATATCTCTAATAAACCAATAGCATTTAGTTGAAAGTCACATAAGTATCATTAATACGAGCGTCTTTTAGCTATTTTAGAATAATGTTTAAAGACTGTAAAAGCCTTGTACTTAACTTATATAGGTATGAATCTTGATATTTGTGTTAATTTACAAATAAGTACTATACATAAATTACCAACTTCAACTGCTTCAGTTAAGAAGAAATCTTTTAATTTTTTCTTTCAAATTATAATAAATGTTGTTTTTAATTATTTATTAAAATGTAAAAAATTTTAAACACAAGTGCCAGTAGTGCATATTTATAAATCCTTTAATATTTTACTGTTTAAGTAACTTTAAACTCATGTTCACAAATATTTAATTAAAACATTTTACACACTGAAACGTATACACGTTCTTATACTGTTATTTTAGTAAATAAATACTACAAAGGATAATGGATAACATCGTCAGAACAACAAAAGAAGTTAGCGTTGATAAAGAGCAGTTAATCTCATTTCTATTTAACTTATCATTTCCTAACGTGAATTACACGTCACAAAATAATTTAACCAACTTTTCCATCTCCCGTCATTGATCCAAACACTCGTCTGTTTGCTGCCTCTCTTCTCACTCCTGAAGCTAGAGAAAAACAAAGAAAACGAATATATATAAAACTGAGTATTACTATTCTGTTTTAAAAGATTAAATAAAGAAAGTTTCAAAAGGGACACATGCTCTGGTTTCATTACGTACACCGTGGATTATAAGTTTATGATGTTTTTTTTCAGTAGAGATCCGAGACACTGTTTAAGGAACACAGTCACACTGTGGTTGATATTAATCTTAAAAAACATAATTTATTTATTTAATAAAGAAATATGAACTAAGAGGTACCTTTGAGAAACAAAGATAATACCCTTCAGTGGATCAGCAGTAAGTCCAAGGGCTTACAATATTAATAATAAAGTTTGGATACCCACAGTGGGCACAGCAAAGATAACCCACCGTGTTGTTCTATGCGTAATAACAAACAAACAACACTAACAAGACTTAATTGTAATTTTTTTCACGAACGTTGCCAAGATTGTGTAGTTTAACAAGATCAAAGCACATAAAACAACTTCGCTTGGATGAAATGTTTATAAACATATCCAAGAAGAATGTGTGTGTCAGAGCAGTAGGCCTACATCCAATAATTCTGTGGCTTCAACTTCAAGTGTTCCCCCTGCAACATTACAAATCCATGATAAAACAAGTCAACTATGAAACAGACAGTAATCCTTACAGCCCTGAACTTCCAGACTTTTGTGATTATCTTTACAATTCCAGTAAAATTCTAAAATTTGCCACTTTGAAAGCGGTACTACTGCAACATTATTTGTAAGTACCGTAATTAATAAACCTTTTTTTCATTTATACTTTACTAATAAACCTGTATCATTTATACCTCTATTAATGTATTTCATTAATCATTTAATATTTGTTTTATTTAAGTTTCTAGCAGTCCATGGTGCTTTAGAGATGCGGGAGGGGTATAATTAGTAAGTCAGAGGTGCATTGTTGAATCATTATTATTACGTGACCTCTGTTGGCCCGGCAAAACGATTATTCCGGCAAGGCTCTGGAACCAAGCTTGCCAGAAAATCAGTGTAGTACCTATATATACAAGCAAATATTGTTTACTTTTTAGCATATTCATAAAGCACAGCACTATGTAAATGACATGCATGAGTTGATTAGAAAATAATAATAAGTCTTTTTTGCACACAACAATCAACGGGAACCTACAAATGATAATCATTGTAAACCTGCTACAGTAAAACCTGATTTGAGTAACTGTTCTCAATATACTACACGCAGATAATAATATGCAATCTGGAAAGAGCAAACAATGAAGAGACGCAAGCTGTGATCAGTTAAGTGCCTGCCGTAACATGCCCAGACAAGTTAATTGTTATCAGTCAACGGATTACCAACACATCAGCTGCACAGCATGATTGCAAAGGCTAATAGTTGGTAAAATGTTGCTTAGAAAATTAGAATGATGTCTAAAAACATTTTTTTTTTCTAAATTTATGTAATGGAAAATTGACGCATCTTCAATTTCATTTTTCCACAAAACTTAAAACCCGAGAAACAAGTTTCAACGTAAAACGGAAAAAGATACTTTCTGCGATTATTAGGTAAACCACAGTAAGCCAACATTATTGAAAAAAATCATTTTTAAACTGTAAAAGATTAAAAATCAAAATTGTAAGCCTAACTGTTTTAGCCAAAAAACTTTAGATTTTGTTTATGTTAATAGTTTGATTGGACATTTAGAACCATTTTTCAGGATTTTCTTAGTTCACTCAGTCCAACTAAAAGCTTCAAAATTGTAAGCCTAACTGTTTTAGCCGAAAAACTTTAGATTTCGTTTATGTTAATAGTTTGATTGGACATTTAGAACCATTTTTCAGGATTTTCTTAGTTCACTCAGTCCAACTAAAAGCTTAACATTTTCAGTTGAAACACTTGTATCATATCATGCTTAGCTTAAGGTACTTTATGCGTACTTACGAAGAAAAAAAAACAGTTACTAAAACCACAACATTTGTAAATTTTCAGCTAATATCCATCTTGCCATTTTCAATTAAGTAAACAAACTTCATAGACTTTTTTTTAAGTTTTACACGAGTTTACCAATATTGTTTCTTAAGATATTGTGGAAACCCGATCTTCATCAACAATTAGCCAAATTTTTCTCTTTCTAACTTTTCGATGTTTTGAGATTATTAAGATGTGTATTGCTAGATATCACAACTGTATAACTGTTAGTTGTACGGTAAGACATCTTACAACTTAGGATAACAATTTTACAAAAAAAAAAGATAAGAGTAGATCATAAATAAATTAATTTAAATGTGATTTTTCATATTGTTAAGAGTTTTCAACACGAAATACTTTAGATTAAAAGCTTGTATATAGTAATTGTAAAATTGTGTTAATTATGTAATACAACAGATAAATAACATTAAAATAAATATATGAATTTTTTCTTTGTTTGTTTTATTGCAAACCTACAATGGGCTATCAGTGGTATGTCCACTGAAGGGAATCAAACTCCAGATTACAGGGTTTAAACTTTTCGATGACCTACCAAAGACACGAGAAGAGTGAAAAAAGACAGAGTAAAACTATACAACTTTTACTCATCTAAAATAAATTACACCTAGCTTAAACAAAATGTACTGTTCTCTCTGGATAGTCAAACAGTGTAATTAATGAGTTTACATGAGGTGATGTACAGGTTAAACTGAAAAAGGTAATCTTACCATGTTTTTTCAAACATTTACCTGCAGGTTGTGGTCGTTTAGGCTTTTCACGGACCTCTGGACTTATTCCTGGATCAACATCTTCCTCATCTTCCTCCTCCCCAACGTTAGTAATGTTCTCGAGACTTCCAGGATCATCTACTCTCAAAAGCTCTTCTTGACGGAGCTTTTCAACCATTTTTTTCATCTGAATTTCTCGTTCCTGGAAAGAAACAATTTAACATAATCTCACAACGTACATCCATTCAAACCAATGACTGCATGCATTCTACACCCAACCGATGACTGCATGTATTGTACACCCAACCGACGACTGCATGTATTGTACACCCAACCGACGACTGCATGTATTGTACACCCAACCGATGACTGCATGTATTCTACACCCAACCCACGACTGCATGTATTCTACACCCAACCGACGACTGCATGTATTCTACACCCAACCGACGACTGCATGTATTGTATACCTAACCGACGACTGCATGTATTGTATACCTAACCGACGACTGCATGTATTGTATACCTAACCGACGACTGCATGTATTGTATACCTAACCGACGACTGCATGTATTGTATACTTAACCGACGACTGCATGTATTGTATACCTAATCAACGACTGCATGTATTGTATACTTAACCGACGACTGCATGTATTGTATACTTAACCGACGACTGCATGTATTGTATACCTAACCAAAGACTGCATGTATTGTATACCTAATCGACGACTGCATGTATTATATACCTAACCGACGACTGCATGTATTGTATACCTAATCAATGACTGCATGTATTGTATACCTAATCAATGACTGCGTGTATTGTATACCTAACCAAAGACTGCATGTATTGTATACCTAATCAATGACTGCGTGTATTGTATACCTAACCAAAGACTGCATGTATTGTATACCTAATCGATGACTGCATGTATTGTATACCTAACCGACGACTGCATGTATTGTATACCTAACCGACGACTGCATGTATTGTATACCTAACCAACGACTGCATGTATTGTATACCTAACCAACGACTGCATGTATTGTATACCTAACCAACATGTGAAATGATACGTTTTTTTTATAATAATCTTCTTGTTCACTCACGAATGGAGCCAATTTCTATTAGATAGAATATACATACACTATTATCGAGAGGTTGTACAGTTAGAATTGCATAAAATAATTAAATATTGTTTTTCTGTTAGTAGTGGTGTGTATTGTTAAACCTAATCAAACAAATTCTACTATTAAAATTGCCAACACGTGATGTAACATCTTTATCCAGTATCCCAATAGGAATCCTTTCAGACAGTAACAGCTTTGACAAATATGTGTATTAAACTGGTAACTAAATAACTAATACTATGATGCACACATTTCTAAACTTTAACAGAGATTTAATTAGGATTCTTGAAATCTTGTTATTCTTAAAATGTGTTTTTTAAGGGAGAAAGTTTACTGAAACCTTACGTGCACAATAGTCAGAAAGTTGAACATCATTTAGGAGCAAAATCAGATCAGTTTTTAAACTGAGTAATAAATCTTTTGAACTTTACACCAAAAATAAAAACTATTCACCTCAATTTGTTCTTCCTCTATCTTTTCTAAATCCTCCAGATGTTGTTCCAGAAACGCAAGACAACGAAACTTTACCAAGTACTGTTCATATGCTTTCTCCAAGTCCTGTTCTAGGCGTTCGTATTCATCCATAAACGCAGGCCTAAATCGTCACAATAACGAAGGACGTGAAACAATTATTTTCAAACATTTACCTACTAGATAAGTCATTTTATATAAAGTGAGTGATTCTCATGAAAATTTTATGTTAAATTCTTTTTTATAAAAAAAACAAAACAAAACATAATTGAAAGGTTCAAATATTACTGTCAGAAAAAAAATCCATATAATGCTAGCATAAAGAAAGTTCAACTGACTACATTCCAACTCCAATGGCTGCCACTTGAAACCTAATATGAAACCAAACACCTACTGATTACTTATTGCAACACTGTGGAGATCATAATCCCATATCTCAGATAACAATCAGAAAAGTTTGAGTCTTAGCTTCAGGGTTAGCAACAGGTACAAATAAAAAACTGTCACATATCCAAAACATTCATTGTTACCTAGCTACGTATTTTTGTCAACTCAGTATCATTTCACATTTCCTCCTTTGGATATAAGTATCATTTCACATTTTTTCCTTTACAGAGGAGAACATTGGGAAATAAAATCAAACTTTAGTTTTTTTTACCCTTAACAAAGAAAATCACGTCATACAAGACCCTATTGTGCATTTGTTGGTAAGCTACACAAACGCGGGCTATCTATGCTTTGCCCATTGCAGGTATCGAAAATCGATTTCCAGTATTTATACCATATAGTTTGTATCTTCTGTTTAATGATAAGACACCAATCGACATAGATCTAACATTTCATTTCTAAAAGAATGACTATACATTTCATTTTTTTTAAATACACAGATCATTACTGAGATAAGATTACTTACATGGACTGTCTTCAAAGAACCTTTTAAAATCTTTTGTCAAAGAAACAGCTAATATGGTAATTATGTATCATGCAATACGAAAAATGAAGAAAGATCTTTTTTTTTCTTAATTCTGATCATTTCTATTTCTCTACCTAAACATGTGCTTTTCATGTGCAGTTGAGTTACATGTTCTGTTCCCATGAAGCTATCAAATAATCACAAAATCTTTAGGATTCTTTGATCTGCATTTATTTTTCTGCACAACAAACAAGAAAGTAGATACATTGTATGATATATCATCGTGGAGCTGTGCTATTAACATATAGTATTTTTCATAATAATTAAATCCCATCACAATACCGTAACCATCCATTTAAATTACACCAAAAATGTAAACTGTAAATGGTGAAGCTTGATTCTGGTCAAGTTCAGACAGGGTCAAAGATCAAATTTTTAAAATTTGGTTTTAAAGTCAGTGCTAACAGCTAGAACTGTTTTAAAAATTGAGTGAAGCCCCCACACCTGTACTAACTTCAAGATACTGATTTCAGTTTTATCAATTACTTTAGATTGGGAATGTCATCAGATGTCTGTAACTCAGACGTGTCATCCAATTCTATACTTTAAATGTGTGTTTAATATTATTATGTGATAAATTTCTTTTAATAAGCTCTTGTACTTTGATTACGTTTTTTGTTTTTGGAATGTGTGCTAATGTCATCAGATGTCTGTAACTCAGACGTGTCATCCAATTCTATACTTTAAATGTGTGTTTAATATTATTGTGATAAATTTCTTTTAATAAGCTCTTGTACTTTGATTATGTTGTTTGTTTTTGGAATGTGTGCTAATGTCATCAGATGTCTGTAACTCAGATGTGTCATCCAATTCTATACTTTAAATGTGTGTTTAATATTATTATGTGATAAATTTCTTTTAATAAGCTCTTGTACTTTGATTACGTTGTTTGTTTTTGGAATGTGTGCTAATGTCATCAGATGTCTGTAACTCAGACTTATATCCAAAGGAGGAAATGTGAAATGATACTTATATCCAAAGGAGGAAATGTGAAATGATACTTATATCCAAAGGAAGAAATGTGAAATGATACTTATATCCAAAGGAGGAAATGTGAAATGATACTTATATCCAAAGGAAGAAATGTGAAATGTTACTTATATCCAAAGGAAAAAATGTGAAATGATACTTATAGCCAAAGGTGGAAATGTGAAATGATACTTATATCCAAAGGAGGAAATGTGAAATGATACTTATATCCAAAGGAGGAAATGTGAAATGATACTTATATCCAAAGGAAAAAATGTGAAATGATACTTATATCCAATAGAGGAAATGTGAAATGTTACTTATATCCAAAGGAAGAAATGTGAAATGTTACTTATATCCAAAGGAAGAAATGTGAAATGTTACTTATATCCAATAGAGGAAATGTGAAATGA